GTAAATTAAATATCTGACAGTGATCATTACACAGTGTGGCTCTAATTCCTCACTTCACCATCTGTGTCACAGCTGAGCGTGCACATGGGTCAGAGCTGGCGTGAGGCACCGCACATTTTCACGTCAAGTTTGGATTTTATAAATCACAACCTTGGCGTGAAAAGTGGCGTACGCAAGTTTCTGGGCTCATATTGTGCGTACGCCAGTTTTATAAATCCGACCCCAGGTCTGGACATTCAGAGCAGTAACCTTGAGTGTTTCTTGAATAATCATAACCACAAAACCATCTTTGTATTTATGTCACTCTTCAACTAAAGTGAAACTCTGAAGTAAGTTTATATAGTTAAGTTTATATATAAAACATTTTGTCCCAAACCCAGGCTCTGGAGGACCGACCCAGCTCTCTGTCTGTAGAACAGGGGGACAGCAGCTCTCCCTCCTTCAACCCATCTGATAACTCCCTCCTGTCCTCCTCCTCACCCATAGAAGAGATGGATGAACGCCGGGCCAGCATCCTGAAAAGAAGACAGTGCGTCCCCTCCTATCAGAAACACACTCCTCTGACACACGCCGTGCATGTGTGTTTGTAGAGAGCTCTGATTTGAATTTAATCTGTGCGTCTCTTTCAGTTACGTTCTGCTGGAGCTGGTGGACACAGAGCGAGAGTACGTCCGAGACCTCAGCCTGGTGGTGGACGTGAGTTCATGCTTCATCAGAACAGAAACATCTTTTCCTTTTAATAACTGTTGAAGCTTTCATGTGAATTATTATTATTTTTTTGTGTGTGTGTGTCTCTGTGTGAAGGGCTACATGAGCAGGATGAAGGAAGAGGGTCTTCCTGATGACATGAAGGGGAAAGATAAAATCGTGTTTGGAAACATCCATCAGATCTACGATTGGCACAAAGAGTAAATTAAACACATGGAAATAATTTTTAAACTCAGTCGCCAACAGAATATTTTTTTTTTTACTTTTCTATTTTTGTCTCGTTCAGCGTCTTCCTCAGGGAGTTGGAGAAATGTCTGGAAGACCCTGACAGGCTGGGGCCACTCTTTCTCAAACAGGTTTGTCTTCCACACAACCTCCTCCTGCTGTATGCAGAAGTATTAAAAACCTGATTTCTCTTCATTCATTTCTTTGTTTTCATCAGTTTTTGACTCACAGCCCCTTTCGGTACTTTAGACAGCGGTGGGCACAGCTAGCCAAAACGTTAGCATCACTAAGCTAACCACTACACAAATGACAATTCTGCTACCGCTAAGACGCTACATATGCTGTGTCTGAATTCAGGGGCTGCATCCTTAGATGTCCAGGTGTCAGTAACAACAATGCAACAAACTCAGAAAATGTTCTGTGACTGGACGACGTCTCAGTGGCAAAGAATGCTGGGAAAACTTCTAAAACTTAATTTTTGTGACTTTTTACATTAGTTCTGAATGTGGACTTTGGTTTTTCTTGACAAACTCTTGTTCAGGTTTTGTAGTGGTGTTGATTGATTTGTTTTATATTGCCTTCTGCTCACAGCATAGCATGGTTTAACATGTCTCTGCTACATGTAAACGTCTGTATCTTTGTGTTTATTTACATATTGCTGTTTAAAGTGCATGTGATGTCAAATTTTTGTAATAAATACGAACTCATTTTTGGAAAGAGGACATTGATAACATTTTGCAAAACAAATTTTATGCCGTTGAGATGAACGGTTGTTGAGATATTTGCATGTGAAGTAACAGGAAGCCCTTTGTTACGGGCTGTCAGGTCCTTGTACGACCGGTGTCAGAGTCTGGTTCGCATTGCCGGCAGTAAGTCGGGCTCGTTTCCGGTGAGAGTTGGACTCCGCCAAGGCTGCCCTTTGTCACCGATTCTGTTCATTACTTTCATGGACAGAATTTCTAGGCGCAGCCGAGGTGTTGAGGGGATCCGTTTTGGTGGCCTTAGGATCGCATCTCTGCTTTTTGCGGATGATGTGGTCCTGTTGGCTTCATCGGAACGAGATCTGCAGCTCTCGCTGGAGCGGTTCGCGGCCGAGTGCGAAGCGGCCGGGATGAGGCTCAGTGCCTCCAAATCCGAGGCCATGGTCTTGAGCCGGAAAAGGGCAGAGTGCCTTCTCCGGGTCAGGGGGGTCGCCCTGTCTCAAGTGGAGGAGTTTAAGTATCTGGGGATCTTGTTCACGAATGGGGGAAGAACGGAGCGGGAGATCGACAGGCGGATTGGCGCAGCGTCTGCTGTAAAGCGGGCGCTGTACCGGTCCGTTGTGGTGAAGAGAGAGCTGAGTCAGAAAGCGAAGCTCTCGATTTACCGGTCGATCTACGTTCCTACCCTCATCTATGGTCATGAGCTTTGGGTCATGACCGAAAGAACGAGGTCCCGGATACAAGCGGCCGAAATGAGTTTCCTCCGCAGGGTGGCTGGACTCTCCCTTAGAGATAGGGTGAGAAGCTCGGTCATCCGGGAGGGACTCAGAGTAGAGCCGCTGCTCCTCCACGTCGAGAGGAGCCAGTTGAGGTGGCTTGGGCATCTGGTAAGGATGCCTCCTGGACGCCTCCCTGGTGAGGTATTCCGGGCACGTCCCACCGGGAGGAGGCCCCGAGGAAGACCCAGGACACGCTGGAGGGACTATGTCTCTCGGCTGGCCTGGGAACGCCTTGGAGTTCCCCCGGAGGAGCTGGAAGAAGTGGCTGGGGAAAGGGAGGTCTGGGCCTCCCTTCTGAAGCTGCTGCCCCCGCGACCCGACCCCGGATAGGCGGAAGAAAATGGATGGATGGATGGATGGATGGTAACAGGAAGTGATGTCGAAGGGGAATGTCTGCATGTAAATGCTACAATATTTAGAGAAGAATTTGATGTTTCTTCAGATTATTTTGAGTCACTGAGAGATGAAAAAAGAGTTTAAATTGTTTCAATAAACAGACTAGAGAGTTTCTTTTCTTAATGAGTTCCCCTTTGATGTCACTTCCTGTTTCACTTTGCTGAGCCAAATTCAAGAGAAAATATGCCTGTTATGAGATAAAATGGGTAAAATCAAGTTTAGTATGCTAATTTTCTTAAATTTAAATATATTTTCTTTGACTTTTTGTATTTGAAGGATAATCATGTAACAGGCCCTTTAAAATGTATTAGCAGAATAGAAAACTAGAAGCACTCGGAGAGTGCAAACCTCCACCAACACCTATTTCCCCCATCCTGTAAGAGTTAATGCGCAAAAGCATAGATGGAAACACATTTGCCGAATAAGTTCAGACGTAGCAAACATTTAAGCAGGCAGTATGCACGGGATTTCTTCTCGGTGGYGTCCAATGTGAAAAAAAAAGTCAGACTCGTCACCCGACGTTATTCATCATCAAACTGGTGTCGGATTAAGCTCCCAAGTTTTCATCAGTCACATTTCGTCATGTAAAACGTCTGTTTTATCCCCTTGTATGAGTTTGTAATGGTTTGACTCTCTTTATAAAGTGCTTCCTGGCTCCCCCGTCTCCAAACTTTGAGGCCCTGCAGCTCTCTGTTTACAAGCCTAGTAGAGAAAGTGTTTTGATTGGTTGTTTCGGAAATGCGGTGTGTTTGAGGAAATGGGAAAAATAACAAAACGTTCCGTAAATGCACATATTATGGCAAAAATTATTCATCATTAAATGTGGTTTTAGCATTACTTTTATAAAGTTTGAAGTCCGTGCTGTCCAATCCAGCTCACTGTTTTTTACAGAAGCCCTGTGAAAGCATCACAGCTTTGCCTATCTGAGTGTTAAAAGAAAAAAATTCCTGTATCCACATCGTGATTCGGAAAATCACCAAAATCTAAAGGTGTGTTCCTTGGCCCAGTACCCATATGTGGTAAAAATGTCATCAAGTCCACAAGTTTTTGAGTAAAGTTGTCCACAGACAGAACAACAGACAGACAGACAGACATACGCAACCGAAAACATTACCTCGCCCTTGGCGGAGGTAATAACAGGTATTATGTTAGCGGGAGTCTGTTAATTATTTATAAAGTTAATGAGTGCTAAACCCCTCAAAAAAAAGTTGGTCCTGCTAGTAGTGGATTAGCAGGTTTGTGCTCATCACTAGCTTTAGAAAAACATAAAAATACAATAAAATGTATGGCTCAGTCAGGAATAGTGAACTCAGTCTAACCTTTAGAAGTGCGGTGTAAACAAAATAAGCAAGAAAAGAACGTGAAAACTTTCCAAACCTGACAGTGGGTATTTTGGCGAAACAGCTTTATAGCTCATGATTTCATGTTAGGAACATATTTTTTCTTATGTCCACAGACTTCACTCTTTTAATTTTTAAAATGTTACCATATTTTTGTTTTGCTTTTCTGCTCCAGGAGCGGAGGTTAACCATGTATGTAATTTACTGTCAAAACAAGCCTAAATCCGAGCACATCGTGTCCGAGTACATCGACACCTACTTTGAGGTGCGTGCCCCTTCTTTTGTTATAGAAACCTGCCAATTTGGAGAAACAGCAGATCCTGAGCTCACCTGTGTGATTTTTTTTACAGGACCTGAAGCAGCGGCTGGGACACAGGCTGCAGATCACAGATTTGCTCATCAAGCCGGTTCAGAGGATCATGAAATACCAGCTGCTGCTCAAGGTTAGTCTGAGCGTACGGCCGATGTCTGCAGCTTCCGCTCGTCGTCCTCGTCCTGAAGCTCTATTCTGTTTGTGTCATTTAGGATTTCCTGAAACATTCTAAAAAAGCAGGGATAGAGTGTCCAGATTTAGAGGTAATATCAAAGATTTAAAGCTCTTTTTAAAAAAAAAAACGTTTATCCAAAGAAGCAACTCAGCATTTAATTTCTGACACTTTCAGAAAGCTGTGGAGGTCATGTGCATTGTGCCAAAAAGATGCAACGACATGATGAACGTGGGCCGACTGCAGGGATTTGATGTATGAAGTTAGATTATTCATGATAAAAGATACAATTCTTAAATTAAAGAGAATAAAATCCAAATTAATGCTTTTCTCTCCTGTTTCAGGGGAAGATGGTGGCTCAGGGTCGCCTTTTGCTCCAGGACACGTTTCTGGTGTCTGACCCAGAGGGTGGTCCGCTCGGCCGAATGAAGGAGAGGAGGGTCTTCCTGTTCGAGCAGCTCGTCATCTTCAGCGAGCCCCTGGACAAGAAGAAGGGTTTCTCTCTGCCGGGCTTCCTCTACAAGAACAGCATCAAGGTGAAAACAAAAATTCACATCTGTAGTCACTCCTCAGACAAGAATAAATAAATTCTTTTGAAACTGAGTTTGTTTTCCCGTCGTCTCTTGACCCGTTCCAACCACAGGTGAGCTGCCTGGGTCTGGAGGAGAGCGTGGAAGGTGACCCCTGTAAGTTCATCCTCACTTCTCGGTCCACCAGTGGAGCTGTGGAGACCTTCGTGCTTCACTCCTCCCATCCTGGAGTGTGTGAGGTTTGGACCCTTCAGATCAGCCAGATGCTCGAGATCCAACGCAACTTCCTCAACGGTACGCTTTCAGACACACACACACACACACACACACACACACACACACAC